TCAGGACTTCTCTCTAATCTATCTTTTAATGTACTCTCAATGTCGTCAACCATACAGTTTACTAATTCATTGACTACTGTGTTGTTGGTGTACATAGCATTTTTACCTTGTTCTAGGTGCTGTAATGCAGGGCATTTTAGTTCTATTGTTGCAAAGTTAATGAAATCTTTAAATACTGTTGTATGGGAAATGTTATGTTTAATCAAGAAATATAGGATTTTTGTAGCACACGTTACTGCTTATTATGATATAAATATATGTCCGGAGATTGATAAATATACTGTTTGTTTGGATTTAAAGGCGTAGATTCTAATATACAGTAGAATCCCTCCTTAAGACCACCCCGGAATTAAGACCACCTCGCTATTAAGACCATTTTTTAGAAGAACGGAATTTTCTGTTCTTTATGTCAATGGTTACATGATCCAGAATTATCCACTTTTAAGACCACCAGATTCAGTCCCAATTCTCTATTTTGTTCTTTATTTGACCCCACTATTGAGACCACAGATTTAAAGTCAACACCTATCTAGATCTTTAATTAGTTGTTATGTTGTTATTTTCTGCTTAAATGCTCTTAGGCATGACACTTCATTTCAAAAGGTGTCAAAAACACCTTTTATTATTGGGATATTGTATCAAATAAGGTGAGAAAGTAGATTTTAGAGTGAATGTTGCTTTAAGCACATTGATTTTGCTATGAATTTGATGGGTGTATTATGTACATCATATAATAATTAATATTGAAATCAGATCAAATAGAATTTGATATTAAATTGCTTCAGAAATGTTTTCTTCCCATCAGATGTAACATTATAACATACTTTAATATATGCAGGTTAAGATACATATTGTTTATTCACACAAAATGACTAAAATAGAACATGGTCGTAAAGTATGTAAGCAATAAGAATACTCACAATTAAGACCACCCCGCAATTAAGACCACTTTAGTCCAGTCCCGATGGTGGTCTTAATTGAGGGTTTTTACTGTAAATCCTTGGTTTTAGAATTCATTTTTTAAAAAGGTATTTTACATGTACATTATATTGCAAATAAAAAATATATTCATCAAAGAACAGGTCTATGCCAGGAGCTCAATTTCCCGAATTTACTATTTATTTAATACGATTCCGGATCTCGGCTTTTCTAAAGGTGACCTATTTCCCCCAACCCGAGCAATCGTATCTTCCTGGTCCTTCCCGCCAATCTGAGGCAATGACCGAAAAGTTGCGATTTGATTTGCTGGTTAGGTGTTCCGATTGACAGTGAAACTGGGAACCAGCACGTGATTATAAATAAAGTGGAACCGGATCAGGTTGAGCAGCAGGTAATTTACTTGTTCGCTACATGAATTTTTTTTCTTTGTAACTAAGTTTTAAATTAATTATTGAAATAATATCTTTGCAGAGGTTTTTTAGACTAACTAGTTGAAGAATAATATACAGTAATTATGCAAAAGGACGGAGTTCAAAATCTGGGACACTCGTTTTGTTGTTGTTATCGATAAATTATTTGATGTGTTGCGTAACAAAGTTGAACTTGCTTTATTATAGTTTATATAGAGGATATTGAATGAGTGTAAGTTAAGAATTGAATTTATTGAACTAATAGAATAAAATTATATTATGCAAGCCTCTAAAATTAGTATTAAACTTGCACAAATTTAATGTTCCAGTATCACATAACCAAAATAAAAACGTTTTAATTGAAAAAGAACCATTTTTCATTGACGCGACTAGAGTATAACGCTAACATTTCACTCATCTTAATGCTATGTTTATATTACAAAAATGACGTGACATTAAATTATATATGCACGTCCTAGTCCTTCATTGAAAGACATCGCATTTTCTTTTCTTTACAATTTTAAGCGGATTTGACCAATGTTAAAAATAGCTTCAGATCCGCGATTACGTCTAAATATTTGGACTATGCACGGCCATGCATCACATTTACAGAGTCATAAAAGCGGCACTGATATATGATAAAAACTCTTTTTCATACACAATAGTTTTAATAAAATTGTTGGTAAAACAGAACAATTTTTTTTCTGTATAAATATTTTAATATATTGGTTGTCAGTTTTCCTGACAATGCAAACAAAAGGCAGAAACAACATACTGGCATTCCGCAAGTATAGTTCTGGGTTCCAAAACTTTTTAAGCCAGTTTTTCTATTGTCTGTTGCTGCATTAAACTTAAAGTTTTGGATCAGACCTATTATGAAACCTGACCAGAATAAGACACATTGTGAAACCTTGTTTAAATTTGCAAATATCCTTTTCCAAATAAATACTTGTGCATTACACAATATAAATATCATTTCAACATTGTTCTAGATGATTTATATTATTAAAATATTAATACTATCTGTGTCAATAAAATTCAATTTCATACTGCGAAACATGGTTATTGAATTAAGGCCATCCTTAAAAAATGTTTGTTTGCAGTAACCCGACCCAGAATTTTCAAGGTGGGTAGGTAGGTCGATTTTTTTTTTTTTAATTGAACTGTACTCCCAAATAAACATGGAATTTCAAGATGCTGGACAATATATGCTTTGATAATCTGGTAACAAATAATAAATTGATAACTGAATTCTAGTTTAATAAGACCTACATTTTATTTCTTCTAATAACCTTTAAAAGAACGAAAACAAAGCACAAGGCATAATTTTCTGATTCAAAAAAAATATTTTTTTATCCAGACCATGAAAAAATTTTTTGAGTAGGGGCAAATTTTGTGAGTCAGTCACGTTACTGCAAACAAAATTTTTAGCTCGACTATTCGATAAGAATAAGTAGAGCTATTGCAGTCACCCGAGCGTCGGCGTAACCACTTATGTTAAAGTTTTTGTAATAGTTTAAATATTTTCAAAGTCCATTGACATATGGCTTTGAAACTTTGCACACTTGTTCACCATCATGACCCCAACCTGTAGACAGGAGGAGGTAACTCTATCAAGCATTTTGACAGAATTATGCCCCTTTTTCAACTTAGAATTTACGTTAAAGTTTTTGTAATAGTTCAAATATTTTCAAAGTCCATTGACATATGGCTTTGAAACTTTGCACACTTGTTCACCATCATGACCCCAACCTGTAGACAGGAGGAGGTAACTCTATCAAGCATTTTGACAGAATTATGCCCCTTTTTCGACTTAGAATTTACGTTAAAGTTTTTGTAATAGTTCAAATATTTTCAAAGTCAATTGACATATGGCTTTGAAACTTTGCACACTTGTTCACCATCATGACCCCAACCTGTAGACAGGAGGAGGTAACTCTATCAAGCATTTTGACAGAATTATGCCCCTTTTTCGACTTAGAATTTATGTTAAAGTTTTTGTAATAGTTCAAATATATTTTCAAAGTCCATTGACATATGGCTTTGAAACTTTGCACACTTGTTCAACATCATGACCCCAATCTGTAAACAGTAGGAGGTAACTCTATCAAGCATTTTGACAGAATTATGCCCCTTTTTCGACTTAGAATTTATGTTAAAGTTTTTGTAATAGTTCAAATATTTTCAAAGTCCATTGACATATGGCTTTGAAACTTTGCACACTTGTTCACCATCATGACCCCAACCTGTAAACAGGAGGAGGTAACTGTATCAAGCATTTTTTTTACTATCAAGCACTAAGAATAGTCGAGCGTTGCTGTCCTCAGGGCTAGCACTGGCAGATTTTTTCTTTGAGCCAATTTTTCGCGGCGAAAATTGCGTGCCTGTATTTTATTTTCAAGAAGGCAATGGTACTGCAAAATAACCAGAATTCAATTGTCAGACTTATTTATAGCATTAGTTCATATATGGAACACCTTAAAAAGGCATGAGATATTTAAAAAAAACAACATAGACTACATGTATATCCAACTTTATTTTGGTAGCTACATTTTAATCACTTTAAAACTGATCATTAAAGCTTGCAGCTCAGTAGCTATAAGAATAACATTTTCCAGGCTAATTTGGTCAGCAATGTTTTCATAAAATCTAAGTTAGTGGCATGACAGTGACATCAGAACCACATTCCTATGTGCTGCTTCAGCTTGCTTGGTTAATGCCAAAGATTTGGTTTGAGGACTATCTGTATCTGAAATTATAAAAACAGAAACATTTGAGAGTAAGAAGAATAATTATTAATGAAGAAAAGAATATTGAAAAGTTCTAAACTAAACATAATTCAGTGGGGAAAATGCCAACTATTCATTATATTAAAGAGTAAAGTAATTAGCATAAGTTTCCTAAAAATATGTTGTATGCTTCTTGACTCAGTGTTTTTTTTCTTTATATAACTACTACCCTAAAACGGTACCATTCCCAATAGAAAATAGACATTAAAATTCCCAATTTCCAATGTATAATTCCCAAAATGGCTGTTCAAAATGCCCACAAGGCCAAGTGATTTTTCTAAAATCATTTAAGGTATTAGCACCCTAATGCATTACCTCCGATTTGAAGAGTATTCAAATAGGCTAGAACTACTGTTAACTACATTGAAAATGAGGGGCCATGGGTTCAATCCCCAGAAGGGTCAACTTTTTTTTTCTTTCTTTTTTTCTTTTAACATTATTTATGTATCTCTCATGTCCCATTAGGAAAGAAAAAAGTGTTTAATTTAGATTTTTTAATTTATATAGGTATTTATTGGCAAAATTATGCTTAATCTAGTAATAAATATGGTACCTGATATTTTCAAAGTGTAATATAATCAAAACTAGACGGTAAAAGTAATTCATATTTTACAAGATCAACCAATATACCTTTTTAAAAATTTAGTTAAACTTTGAAAACAGGCACTCATTTGGGTAAATTTTAAGAATTTTTTAAATTAGGCTCCCTAAGTAGAAAAATGGTCAGACACGTGGTAAAAATGGGTGGGGTAGGGTAACATTTTTATACAAATTTCATAAATTTTTAGTAGAAACCATAATTTTGCTTATGTGGATTGTTAGCTGAATGGTACTTTTTGTTTCTTACCAAAAATTAATGGGAAAACATTTTTCATTATAATGTTATTGCAGATTATTTAAAGGTTCCGCATTTCTAAAAAAAAGGGCCATCATAACATCCTAGCTGAGTTCAGAAAAGTGGCCATAACTTGATTTCCGTACGGTAAACTTTGATTAAATTTTGCATACAGGTGTACTTTAAGGTATACATCTGACCTATAATGTCAATTTTTTAGTTTCTGATAGTGCCCATTAGGGTCCTAATACCTAAATCCAACATATTCATATAAATCACCACTCAATAGTTCTATCTGGACAGTAGAAGCTGTTAGCTATCTTTATTCATGATGCCTAATCTCATTTGTAGCTGAAAAAATGCATTAAAAAAATTCCCAATTTTAGTCAAAATATCGCATTTTTTCCCAATCAGTCTGGTACCGGCACCATTCCCAAAGTAGAGAAAAAAAACGCTGTGACTTTTCCATAAACATTTCACAGCCATGTATGCCATTTGTAAATGAATGCTCCAGATAGAGGTTATGTACAAAGTAAGGTGAATTTTTTTTTCAGGAATACTAATTGTCAAATATTCTCCTTGTCAAATTTATGCTTTTTTGGAGCCATTGTTAGGTCAGATTTAATTTGCAATTAAAAAAAAAACTTCTATTCTATAACTCATAATTCCTTTGATCTTTTTATCAACAACAATAAAATTATATGAATGCAAACTTACCATAAAGTCGTCCATTTCATAACCAAACTGTTGATATGATTGGCGATAATCTTAAGATGCCGCTAGTTATTGTTTCATATTGAATATAAAGACCAATTATCTAGTGCACATTCAACAATTCACACCAATTAGTGTCATATTTATCAGCTGATAAACATGTAAACATACCATGAGGTCAGTGTATTAGACTGTGTTACTGTTTATAACGATATTTTATTTGGAAGGGAAGTAACAAATATAGACCAGTCAATGACCCCACAAAAAGGAGACTGTGTCGCAGTGTTTTGTGATAAGAAGCTGTAAAGCGGAAGTTGTAAATGGAAAACCAAATGTGTACTTTTCCATTCTTAAAATAGCAAATGCTAAATTTAGACTGGATATTCCAAAAGTTATACTTTTCGTAAGTTGGAGCCAATCATGATTTTCTTGAGCCAATTTAATAATTTTGGAGCCAATTTGCTAATTGGCTCCTGCCAGCGCGAGCCCTGCTGTCCTACCGACAGCTCTTGTTTTAAGGATGGCCTAAACTGGTTGATATCGACCATGACACTTGGGTGTTACACGAGACCTGGTATGATATAATTTGGGAACCGCTGAGAGTACTGGCATGTACTATATTTAGAACATCTTTGTTGTCATGACATTATTTCATATATTAAACTCTTTTTAAATAATATGGTTGAAGAATTTATCTTTTAAATTCATTCGAATAAAAATCAATGCCGCCGAAAAGTACAATACAGAATAAGACATAAACAGTGTTACTCAGTCGTTGCATATCTGTGTAGACAATTTTCAAGCATTTGGCCATTTCCATTAAAATAAACTGCAAAAATAATAACCTCATTAACATTACTGTGCACAAAAAAAAATAACAGCTCATTTAATTATTTTGTAGTTGAATTGTTTTGTGTTTTTTCTTGCAAAATTTTGGTGAGGACCTTGTAACTCAAACAGTTTTAGAGAATCTTATTTGATACTGATGCTTCATTAAAGGTTACATCTCAGTAAGGAGGAATGCTGTTGAGTTGGAAAGAATGACAACTCTCCATAATTTTAAAGTTATTTCCTTCAGTTATTTTTTTGCCCATAATACATGTTCTTTGCAAGGACCATGACTCTAAATGTACTTGAGGTACCAACTTGCAACTTAAAAGGTAGATATATTTCAAAGAGGAGCGCTGGAGTATTGCAGAGCAAAAGAACAATTACTCTTCATTTCATAATTTGTTTAATCAGTGCCTTTAACTTTTTTAATGTATATTTTTTGTCCTGGCTCTAACTCAAATTGATAGAGATATAAGCCGGAAACTCAATTTAAATAAAATGTTTGAACAGAGTGAGTGATAAAAGATATGAAATTTTTCACACCAGTTACTGATGCAGAACTATATCAAATGGTACAACAAATCTTGAAAACCATCATTGGATATCAACGGGTAACCTGGCCTCTTTTTCACAGGTTGTGGAAGCAGTCCAACCCTTAATTTTTGGGGCAAATTATACAGTGTATTTGCAAAAAAGGAAATAAAAATTTGATGTAAATTTAATTTTTTGGGGAAAACTGGTAGATTTTAAAGAATTTTGATTTGGGGAAGCTGCCCTATAACGGCTTCTGCTATAGAAGGGAAAATGCCCTGTTACTTAACATATAACATGTAAAAGTTAATGGATCGGCAGTTGGTGAAGACATACATAATTATATATTTCCAGTTCCATCATGTCAAAAAATTTTGGTTGGTGGAGTAATACAAATAAAAAAAATGATTTTACTGTAAGCCTGCTGGTGGCAGCAGATTCCACTATGTGACCAGTGCAGACTAAAAATAGCGGCCACATCCATGCCATCTGACCATGGTCTTCACTGTTCACTATTCAGTCATTACATAATTTAAAATTTTCCCTTAATATGTTGAATGGTTTTGTCCAGATTGAACAATGGACAAGTCCATTTAAGATGTTTAGTGTGGTAAGGGTTAAATATTCAAAAAGATTTATCTGCACTATTATACCTTTAAATTATGTATAATGTAGATGATTTTAAATTGATACAGCATATTAAGTACATGAGTACCAAGGACAAATAAGGTATTTGGCAATAACAAAATTTTGTATTTCATTGTGAATTAAGTGACACATATCATAAATTATTACATTGGACTGTATCAACAAATATTAATATTGAATTATATTTACAAATATTAATATAATATTTGCCAGGTTCTCTTTTTTTATCAGTTGCCAATTTTGCAAGGATCAATAACCGTTATGTTACATTTTATTACTTTATTGTACTATTAAAGCAGTTTTAAATGTGTGGAGTTTTTCTATCAATAAATCTGCCAAGTTCTAGTTTAAACGACTAGAGGTAAAGAATCAGAACATCAGGGAGGTTGTGAGCTATTCATGCAAATAATCAGTACTTGTGATGTAATGTTATATAAAGTAATTATAAATAAAATCATGAAGAGCTATTTGCCAAAATAAATACTGTTGAATATTTACAAAGGGTTGTCATTTCAGACATAAGAAGATGGGACCTAGTGGCCTACATAACTTCGCCAATCTTCCATAGTTATATTTATTTATGAAAAAAGCCCTAATTTGCATTATGCCAAGGTGATTCAGTGCACAGACATTGGTAACCAGTCATGAAAATGAAATCTTTCATTTGCCAATATATTGGTGATCAGAATTGACCAATCAGCATGATCAGATGACTGAGTAAATAGACTGGTGCACAATTTCTTTTTTTTTCCCTCTACATAATTGTGTACTTAGACTAAATCCCATTGAGACAGAATTTGACATTTTTGAATCTATAAACCAGTCTTGTATCAATGAGATACATTTTGACCTTAAAATTATTGGCACTTTGAATATATATTACAGGTTTAATATTTATTGTTAAACATTTTGGCACTAAAACAGAAGTGATACCGATAGTTTAACTATACATTTATGTATGTTAGTATTACAGTACATTCTTTTGTTGGCGTCTGGTTGAGAGGTTAAGGTTGTTGACTTCAAACCACTTGCCCCTCACCACTGTAAATTTGAACCCCCCCCCCTCTATGACATGTGAAAGCTGATCCTCTACATGTACATGTGGCTTAGCAGATCGTCCTTGGTTCTACTCTAAGGTGTAACTGCCACCATTAAAGCTGGAAAGTTGCCATGTCACCGACCTGACTTGAATTGTTTTTCTGTAACCTCCTTCCCCCCCCCCCCCCCCCCCCCCCCCCAAAGAAAATTTTTTTTTTTTTTTGAAACATACATGAAGTTAATGTGACCTGTTAATTTCATAAATGTAAAACACATAAGAAGTAAAACTTTCTATGTAACTTTATTTTTTGCTCGACCATTCGAATAATAGGGAAAGGTATATAGTTTTCACCCATGCAACAGCATCACCATCTCATATCATTTAACTTTGTTATTATGTTTTTGCATGCAAGTTGGTTTCTCCAAAACTACTGAAAGGATTTGGTGGAAACACCTGCTCTTTGTGATTATCATTATTTAAAGTGATTGGCACAAGTCCCATTTCTCTTTTGGCACAAGTCACATAACTCTTATTTGCTCTATATTGTCCATTGACTAACTTTTGAATATTCATCTTGATATCCCCAGAATTGATAATGGACAGTTTGAAAGAAGGGAGGTGGACAAGTTCATTTAAGAAATTCAAAACATTTGCTGTATTTTTGAAACGAAACATAATTATGTAACTCTGTCTGCTTGAATTAAATCTGGGACGCTCAAGTTTCAAGTTTCATTGCTTGTGATTCAAAGTAAAGAAATAAATTGTTGAAATAAAAACATTTTAGATGACTCGTGAATAGGTTGGCTGATAATATTGTTGCATAAGCATGTGTTTGTCATGTGAATTTGGTACTCCAACTTACATATATATTACATTGCCTCCAGCCCAATGAAAATAATACAGTGTAAGAAAAACGTGACTATTTAAATAATACCCCGGTACACAAAAAATGTAAACTTATAGGGTATGCTAGCACTAAAGTCATGATTGTGTGTATAGCCAATATCTAAAAATAGATTGAATGTATGTCTATGTTTATAAGGTAGGCTGCTTTAAGAGTCAATATATTTCATATTTAAATAGCATTTATTGTTTGTAGATGGCAGTGCTTCATAAACGGGTATAAATATTGCAATTTATTATTGGCATTTTAGCCATAATTTTACTTTTTGTATGTATGAACAAAGTGATACCTGATTGCTTTAGTGTAAATTAAACAGAGCTTTAAACTTAAAATATATATATATATAGTTGTGATATTAATGTATTTTCAGATTTATGGAAATTTGGAATTAAAAACGTTTCCCTTTACCAAACTTTGGTAATTGGATTTTGACTTTAAGAAGAGGCACCCTACAAAGAAAGGATGGGGTTCTTTAACCAACTGGTGCTTTTATTGTGGAAGAATTTCACCCTGAGGAAAAGACAAAAGGTAAGGAAATTTATTTCTATACATGTTTTGTGTAAGAAGCGATATATTTGTCTTCAGTTGGGGTTTGATTAGTCCTTACCAGGTCAGTGTCAACTAACTGAATCTACCCAAGTGACTAGTCAAACTAATTGTACTACACAACAAGATAATTTGACTTTTGCTGTATATCTCGCCTCTAGAAGCGAGATTCTGACCCACAACAAAAATATCTCAGAATCTACCCTTGCGACCAGTGCTGACCAAAATCAGCTGGCACATCCAGTTGCCATCTCATCATGGTTAGCACTGTTTGCTATTAAGTCAATATAAATTTGAAATTTTCCCTAAAAAGGATGAATGGTTTTTGGCAAGGTTAAAAGAAGGATAAGAATTTTAAAGATATTCAGCATGAAACATATACAGGTGTCCAGTGCAAAGTGAAATGAAATGTATAATTATATTATAAACATTAAATTTTTGATTTTACCATTTTGTATAGAAAATGAGAGAGAGACAGAAAATGGCTTAAGTCAGAATATTATTTGCATTTATCTGTCTGGGTAACAGTGTTGTTCTTCTTGTAAAGAAATTAATAAATACTTTTTGTTGATTGCTTGAACATGTATTGGTTGATCTAAACAATCCGAATACTTTACTATTTGTTTATAAAATAAAAAAACATTTGTTCAGAAAAAGTATGCTACATGTATTTATAAATTTAAAAAGAAATGAAAAATTTAAAGAGAAGAAATTAATATTGAAATGAATTATTTATTACCAAACTTGTTAAATATAAACAGCATGTAAATATATATACACATTTAACACTAAAAAGACAGGTCTATTTGTCATACTAGATGTTAATACAATAAAGATAAGATCAGTTTGAAGGTATCTTTTATGGGTCACTGTGTTTTTATTGCCTGTTTAAATGGCCAGTTGTCAACAAAGATTGTTGTAAATTCTTTTAACCTTACAGGCATTATATAAAATAGAACCAAATTTATGTAAAAACATCTTACGAAACCAAGCATATTTAAATATACTTGTTACGATGATCCTTAATCATCCATGTTTTGTTATGTTTCTGGACCTGTCCAATGTTTGAATGAATTCAAGATTAGAATATTCAACAGTTGTTTTACTTCCCAAAATAGCTGTTTAAGCAATAATTCTTCCCAAAATCCAGGGTCCATTGTGTGTAGACGTGCCCTAAGGCCTCTACCCAAGTTAGTGACTTATGTATGAATCCAAACTTTATTAAGATAGGTCAATTTCTAACATTTTATTTTTACTAACCTGCCAATAATTTTTTGTTCAATGGGGTCTATTCACTCTATTGTATTTTAATTGATTAGGGTTTTTTTCCCATTAAAAATTCTTGACTATGTCATTTATTTGAAGTGTTTTAGTTGCTGAGTAATCAGGTATTAAAAAATATGTGCCCTTTCAATCGAAAGTAGTAAAAAGCCTTTGCCACATTTTTAAATAGCAGGCCGGAGTCTGCACAACTGTGGTAGCTTAATTTTTGATATTGAAATCCCTTAAACTTAGAATGAACTGTTCCGTATTCAAAGCTGGGAAAGTCCATTACCCACAATTCAGCAGTTTATGGGTTATTGTCGGCTTCACTACTTCAGTCTTCTATATAATTGTTAAGCTATTTTTGGCTTCCTTCGGCCTTAAATGTTGTAAATTAATATACAAGTAAGATTATGCAATTGAAGGATATTCACATTTTATGAAATATTATACTCATTTATCTATAAATGTTATCATTATAGAATTCATTTAGAGTTTATATTAAATGTAGTAAATGTCACATATATAAACATGGTAAGTGACTAAGCAGAGTTGATTTTTACTTCATTGGTTGTCATAGTGACTTTATACAGCAATTAATGTATATTGACAGTGTAAGAGAAAACTGTTTAAAGTAATTGTTCTACTTCAATTTGTCAGAGTTAATAATGTTAATGTTGCATTGAATTCATAAGTTGACATTTTAACCCTTAGGAATGCAAGTTACGGGTAACTAGTATATAAAGCCAGGCCAGCCTGTACAACCGTTACCATGTAATGTGACCAGACTGTGTACTGATGGCCACCCATTGTTTAAGCACTTTTGTACATCAAAATCATTTAAATTTGAAATGGAACATACCAAATTTAATCAGGACAAGTCAATCAAACAAACTGATCACTCAGATCAGGGTCTATAAGGCACACTATAATTATACAATACTTTGAAGCCACGCTGATATGATGAATAAATTTCTATTAAAATAAATTATTAAGTCTGTGCTCCCGGCACTGTTAAGTATGTGCTCCTAGCACTGTCAAGTCTGTGCTTCAAGCACTCTCAAATCTGTGCTCCCAGCACTGTTAAATCTGTGCTGCCAGCACTATCAAGTCTGTGCTCCCATCACTGTTAAGTCTGTGCTCCCAGCACTATCAAGTCAGTGCTCCTAGCACTGTCAAGTCTGCTCCCAGCATTGTCAAGTCTGTACTCCCAGCACTGTCAAGTCTGTGATTTCATCACTGTCAAGTCGATGCTCCCAACACTGTCAAGTCTGTGCTCCCATCACTGTTAAGTCTGTGCTCCCAGCACTATCAAGTCAGTGCTCCTAGCACTGTCAAGTCTGTGTTCCAAGCACTGTCAAAGTCTGTGCTCCCAGCACTGTTAAAGTCTGTGCTCCCAGCACTGTCAAAGTCTGTGCTCCCAGCACTGTCAAAGTCTGTGCTCCCAGCACTGTCAAAGTCTGTGCTCCCAGCACTGTCAAAGTCTGTGCTCCCAGCACTGTCAAAGTCTGTGCTCCCAGCACTGTCAAAGTCTGTGCTTCCAGCACTGTCAAAGTCTGTGCTCCCAGCACTGTCAAGTCTCTGCTTCCAGCACAATCAAGTCTCTGTTCCCAACACTGCCATTACTTAAGTCTGTCAGCTCTTAGCACTGTTGGCTTTATTTTTGTGCCAAAATATAGCAGAAGATAAGTCTAACTTATAGTGGTTGCATTAAGAAACTACAAAAGATGAATTACGTATGTACCACATATGTACCTCTTTATTTTCCAAGTATTAAGTATAACTGAGGGTTTGATAATAAAATAAAGATCAATATTTCAGCTTGTTCTCAGGGGATAGGTGGCATGGTAATTGGTAAATTAACTGGTATTATATTGTACCTGAATATATAAAAGATAATACCATAAATCATTATGAATGAATGATACATGAAGGAATATCTAATCAATACTTCACCACAAATGCCTGCATAACAGACAATTATTTTAGTTGTCTGAAACCTAATATTTCATTAGCAGATGAACAATTCATAGCTGTCTGACTCTTAAAGATTATATATTGGCTCTAGAACAGGTTTTAACTTCACAATTTTCTGAAATTATAATAAAAAGGCAATAACCTGACCAAGGGTGCTAAAAAATTTATTTGTACACATAAATTGACAATATTAATAAATTATGTTTTGTGGCTGAAGCCAAAAATAAAATTTCAATAATGCTACTGATTTCTCTTTGAAAGGGACATGTAATCAAATAATCTAGAGTATATTTGATACATTTTTAGCTCGACTATTCGATAAGAATAAGTAGAGCTATTGCAGTCACCCGAGCGTCGGCGTCGGCGTCGGCGTAACCACTTATGTTAAAGTTTTTGTAATAGTTCAAATATTTTCAAAGTCCATTGACATATGGCTTTGAAACTTTGCACACTTGTTCACCATCATGACCCCAACCTGTAGACAGGAGGAGGTAACTCTATCAAGCATTTTGACAGAATTATGCCCCTTTTTCGACTTAGAATTTACGTTAAAGTTTTTGTAATAGTTCAAATATTTTCAAAGTCCATTGATATATGGCTTTGAAACTTTGCACACTTGTTCACCATCATGACCCCAACCTGGAAACAGGAGGAGGTAACTCTATCAAGCATTTTGACAGAATTATGCCCCTTTTTCGACTTAGAATTTACGTTAAAGTTTTTGTAATAGTTCAAATATTTTCAAAGTCCATTGACATATGGCTTTGAAACTTTGCACACTTGTTCACCATCATGACCCCAACCTGTAAACAGGAGGAGGTAACTCTATCAAGCATTTTGACAGAATTATGCCTCTTTTTCGACTTAGAATTTACGTTAAAGTTTTTGTAATAGTTCAAATATTTTCAAAGTCCATTGACATATGGCTTTGAAACTTTGCACACTTGTTCACCATCATGACCCCAACCTGTAGACAGGAGGAGGTAACTCTATCAAGCATTTTGACAGAATTATGCCCCTTTTTCGACTTAGAATTTACGTTAAAGTTTTTGTAATAGTTCAAATATTTTCAAAGTCCATAGACATATGGTTTTGAAACTTTGCACACTTGTTCAACATCATGACCCCAACCTGTAGACAGCAGGAGGTAACTCTATTAAGCATTTTGACAGAATTATGCCCCTTTTTCGACTTAGAATTTACGTTAAAGTTTTTGTAATAGTTCAAATATTTTCAAAGTCCATTGACATATGGCTTTGAAACTTTGCACACTTGTTCAACATCATGACCCCAACTTGTAAACAGGAGGAGGTAACTCTATCAAGCATTTTGACAGAATTATGCCCCTTTTTCGACTTAGAATTTATGTTAAAGTTTTTGTAATAGTTCAAATATTTTCAAAGTCCATTGACATATGGCTTTGAAACTTTGCACACTTGTTCACCATCATGACCCCAACCTGTAAACAGGAGGAGGTAACTGTATCAGGCATTTTTTTTACTATCAAGCACTAAGAATAGTCGAGCATGCTGTCCTACCGACAGCTCTTGTTTAAAGATGCTTTTATTGTTCAAAAATTGTAAATTTGTCAAGCCATATAGCAGGGCCGGCTAAATCTGATTTAGACTTACTTGTCCGTTTTTATGGGAAGCATTATTTAACTTGTCTGTAACAAAGTCACTTCTTGAAAATTTTCACTTGTCTGTACAGGCTGAGGGACAACCTGGGCAATAGGGACAATTGATTTTGCCGGCTCTGCATATAGTCTAGGGGTTGCTGGTTGGATCCTTGGGTGTGGGGAAATTTCTCTGGCACAGTTGATCTCAGACATTGTGTCTTATTATGGTTATTTGTTTCTAAATGCTGATTCAGAAATCATGTGGAATTAGTAGTCCGAGTCATTAAGAGAATCTGGTAATTTACTGGTTAGTTATCCAGTAAAGCTAGTAAGGTTGCAGTCATCAAATTTAGCACTGGCCCCGTGGTCCATGGCCAGTGTAAATTAGTTCGGGCCAGTGAAAGTTTCAAGAAAATTTAGTTAAATATATAGTAGAATAAATTCAAAACTGGAATTCGGGCCAGTAAATTCAAAATCTTAAATCTAATGACTGAGGTTGTGTTAATGTGCCGGCTGATCAGGGTCGCCACAAGTTGTAAAGGTAGAATCTGATGGGTAATAAGCAGGCCAAGGGTTACATGTAATTCACCTTATATATTCATTTGTAATTGAAAACAAATGAAATGGCTTGTCTTTGAAGCCTTAATATGAAATTTTAGTGGTGACTATGTATTAAGCTTTTCTTTAATAAATAAGACAATCACATATAATATTTGTATTATTTTATTGATTATATTTGTTTTATATTGCCAAATAAAATTTTGACCTCATCTATTTTTTTCAGCTTCGACTGGTAGCGGAGATTATTTTTCCTCTGGCGTTATTTATGATATTATTGATAGTGCGGGTCACAAAGCCTGACTTGAAAGTGAAACATGGAGCGTGTAAGTATAGATAGGATAATTATTGATTGAAATGATATCAATGTATTGTCAATATATATTTCTGTTGATAGATTATTGTTATAGATTTGAAAAAAATGATGATTTTTGACTAATTAATGAAATGAGAAGAAATTATGAAAATTCTTTTAAAACATATACTGACTCAGGTAACCAGACAGACATGTCAAAAACTTTGCTGTATGAGTTTAGAAATGGATATATTTAATAGTAGTGTTGATAAAAAAAATGGTCAGCAAAGAAAACATTCAGTGGGCATTTATAAACAATACACATCATGATTGTTTTCAAAGAACATGTATTTTACTGAAATCATAAAAACGGGTATGAAAGTCACTTAGGAAATATAGAATAAGATAACTTGATGTATCAATGTATCATCAATAGTTGTCATCCCATATCAATGTACCATGGGTATAATTTTTACTGAATCAATGTCAACTGGAGCATTGAAAGTTAACTTAATGACAAGACCTGATAATATGTGACCTAGTTTAAAGATGACTTTTTGTGCAGGTCAGTTGTTCTACTCATTGTGCCCAAAGTGGCCCAGACTAATACACATAACCGGGAATTATCCATCATTTTACATGTACAATGATAAAGCTTGAACGTTGCCACATTTTTTTAACACTGCTAAAATAATCTGTACATTATCCATTAAAGCCTGTGTTTTGCTAAAATTTCAACTCTAGGCCTAATTTTGTCATCCCGAAATTAAGATTATCCAGAAATAAAGTAAAGATATGTGTATTTAGTCAGGATTTATTTAGTGGTGTACCAGAATTCACATCTTTCATAAATCTTAATAAATTATTAGTCAATTGTGATGTCAGACAACTTCAAAAATTCATGACTCAGAGTTACTTTTCCTAGACAGAAAAATTCTGTAAAACATAGTTGTCCATCATTTTTGCTAGAAATAGTCACAGAGGCAAATGTTTTTTAATGTATTTGAATTTTCAGGTCATTTTGATGGAAAGGCCATGCCGTCGACTGGCATCCTACCTTTCTTGCAGTCTTTTATGTGTACATTCAACAACACGTGCCACGATTCGGTTAATGCTGACGAGAGACCCGGCATGGCAGGTTCCTTTACTCAAACAGGGTACGTAGTCTTAACTGAATGCTTGGAGTTTTTAACCCAGCAGGGATCTAAAATATGAAAAGTGAAAGCTATCTAGCAAACTTCCTGAAGGACATTGATCCAATCATGTACCTGCTTGTGCCATAGATAAATTGCAGAGAAGGACTTGTGATCTTGTTCATAAATGCAATCTAAAACCACTAAATTAGAATTGTGTGTTTTTTTCAGGTTGAAAATTGCTACGACTAAATTTCTATGGTCAAATTAAGCAACTGATAAAACTTAATTTTTGAAACTTTCCATGTTAGCTGTATGAACTGTTAGCTTACTTGGTTAATGGAAGCCCATTTGAGAGTGTTCGATATAAGCTGATATATGTTATGTATAGCTGATAAAAAAAACCCCTAGATATACTAGATTATACAGTTTTATATGCTGCAGACTTTAACTGTCTTGCAATTAATTAGTCTTGTCAAACAAGAATTTGATATGATCGTTTTGTGCAAGATCATCAAATTTTGAAGGAAATATAGTTTTGAAGATTACTTATGAAGTGTGTAAGAAGATGAAATTTTGTATAATGTTGATATTATAGGTTAGCGGAAGCGGTTCAAGCTTTGGAGGAGATATTGAGTAGCAACGTTGATGCCGAAATAATTGCTGATACTATTACTGATCTAAATTTACTGGCAGACCTATATCAGAGAATTGTTGATGGTACTGCTGTTGGTATGTATTGTAGATT